AAACCCATTCCCGCCTGTCTCAAACGATGACCAGAAATTTCCTAAAATATGGGTGGGCACAGCATGTTGTGGGGAATGCGCCATGTGGTGTATGCCTATCATTACTTGAACACTAAAAAAGGCCACATGGCTTATATGTTGTTTTTATTATTTGTCTGATTATTATCCAGAGTCAGCAGGTAGATACCAAGCTTTCGTCCAAGCTGACGTGGCAACGATCCGGAATTACTCCCGTAGCCGCCTTCCTTCTGTCTGCCCTGGTTGTTCGCTCCCCCATTGCTTCCCCCACGGGATCTTCCATACCCGTCTTCGCATCCAGGACCCACCATAGGGCTCCCCTTCCCCTACTCCCGATGGGAGCACCATTCCCCTGCGCACCCCTCCCAATCCAGCCAACGCGCCTAGTTGATAGATCTGCCAACCCATCTCACGTTGATGGCGCCTCGCCCCGCTACTGCACTCACTGCCCGCCCACATGAAGATCTCATATCCCCTGTTCGGTACTCTCCCTCACCTCAGGCTCCGTTGTTGCCAGGGAGAAGAGACCGCAAGGAACCATTTGTTGCCCCAGTTGTAATTGAGTTTTCATGCGCAGCTCATCGTCCTCGAACAATGGATATTGTTGGAATCGCACTTGAGCCTCCACACGTCACGCCGTGTCATCCATTACCCCCTCATCATTCATCACAGGAGCTCCAGTACCGATCACCACTGTGGATTTATAGATAAGGCTCTGGTGTTGTAATTGCAGTTGTAGCTGCGCATCCAGATACTGCCCTTTGTCATCAGTACCTAGGTTATGGTGCACCTCGTTTTCCCCTCTCTCCACCACCTCATTCTCACTCTGTACACTCTCCCTTTCCTGTCCGTGGGATTCATTGACTCCATCCAGAGCAGGTGACAGCTGTTTGCCAGGCGGACAACCCTCATCTCCTCCCGGTAAAAGCTCTGCGAACAGCTCTTTCACCTTCCCAAGGATTCTGGTACACTCACACAGCTCAGCCATCACGTGTGCATTGTTCATGTCGCCCGAATGTTGCAGAGAAATATTTGCATAGTTCCTAAAGTCGTGCCCGTTCACGAGCTACGATTTTAGGAAATGTACGGGCCATACAAGGAGCACGTGAATTCATCCAACTACAAATGTTTCTACTCTATTTGTTTCCGCAGCCCATAGCTACTGGTGGTTTAAACGTGAGGTTTGGTATTCTACCAAAATGTTGTAATCAAACCCTTGATCTGGTACAGGACGTTCCGGTTTTGTCCCATAACTTCTATCCGTATCCTTTTTGTTTGTTTGTTGTTGTTGTTGTTGTTGTTGTTGTTGTTGTTGTTGTTGTTTTAACCACTAGTACCTTTGCCGTTTCGTTTCGGGAAGTTTTAGCCTATTCCCAAACTTTTAGGAGGTCGGGTCCGGCAACGGCTGCCGTTGATAAATCTGATCGGCGGCCGTCGTTTCATTTCGGCCTCCTGAAAGGTCGGATGCCCGCTATTTTCCGAACCGACAAAGGTATTAGTGGTTTAAGCCCAGGTTTTTGTAGAGGTGGGAGATGACGGTCACCCACAGTACTCGGCCACTCGATTGTCCAGATGAAGCCACCCCTCTATAGAGCCCACCCACCCTTCCTCTCATCTTTTACCCTGGCAACCCCCCCCCCCTCCTCTTCTACTCTAGCGTGGACCACCCAGGACCATCACCAATCACCATCTTGGCTGGGCGACCTGACCAGACAGCGGGTTCAGGCACCCGGGCTAAGCAGAGACCCCTACCCCCTGTTCAGCCCCGGTTGAAGCAGACGCCGTGCAAGCCCGATTGCATGACGGCTTCGGGAGCTAGGTATGAACATGCTTCACGAGGGGACACATTGACTCCCATCTACCACAGTGACCTAAAGAAGAAAGTATTAGCCACAACCACAGTGATTCTCAATGGACCTGCAAAGGCACTGTGTGGAGGTTGGTATCAAAGCTAACATTTGTTTGCTTGAGGTAGTTTTACCTTACACTGCGATTAAATTTTAATTTTTGACAGTGGCTCCTCGTAATAGGCGAAGCGGTGCTAACATTTCTTTGCTTGAGGTAGTTTTGCCTCACACTGCGATTAAATTTTAATTGTTGACAGTGGCTCCTCGTAATAGGCGAAGCGGAGCCCAAAAATAATAATTCGCGATGACGCAAGTCTCAAGAGTTTGAGCTGAGCCCGATTAGTAACCTTCTTTTTTTAAATAACAAAAAACATGCTCCAATCTATTTGCGGAGAGCGATACGTGGTCGGCCTCAAAAATAATAATTAGTGATGACGCAAGTCGCAAGAGCTTGAGCTGAGCCCGATTATTAACCTTTTTTTTTTTAATAACCAAAAATATGCTCCAATCTATTTGTGGGGAGCGACATGTGCTGGGAACCGTGAGCCCGATTATTAACCTGAAATTGTAGATGGGGAAATTGACCCCTAGACCTGGTTTAAGAACTTTTCCACCACTTGCGGGACTACCCGCAGGTACTGTATGAAAGCATTGTGGCTTACAGTTAGCACTCCCATTATCTGAAACGAAGGGCGTGCATGGACGGCATCTTGGTGAGAGAGGAATATGTAGTAGGTTTGAAGAGCTGTGCACTCCGACAAAATATGCGTTGTAAATGCTCCCCACGAATGATTGGAGCTGCCCAAGATTATCTATCATACCGAAAGAGCCTCCCCATGAGTGCTAGTGGTGCCTGCTCGTATGAACACCCCTAGCATCCACTCGGGTTGTTTCTCCCCCCCGCCCCCCCTCCCCGCCCCCCCCCCAAAAAAAAAGACAAAAAAAAGTTCATGTTCTTTTTTAGCCTGAATTGCCTTGCAGTGATTCCGGGGAGCCTCTTGACACCCCTCATTAGCATTTGCCCAAGATTATCTATAATACCGAAAGAGCCTCCCCAGGAGTGCTAGCGGTGCCTGCTCGTATCAACACCCCGAGCATCCACTCGGGTTGTTTCTCCCCCCCGCCCCCCCGCCCTTCATATTGTATTTTAGCCTGAATTGGCTTGCGGTGATTCCAGGGAGCAGATTAGCAATTCACTTTGTTCAGGCAAGAGAGAGAGAGAGAGAGAGAGAGAGAGAGAGAGAGAGAGAGAGAGAGAGAGAGAGAGAGAGAGAGAGAGAGAGAGAGAGAGAGAGAGCCTTCGGAGAAATGATTGAGGGTGGCAAACTGTCCCCTCTACGAGCTTGTCTCTTAGAAAGGTGGTTTGCATTTGGACCGTGCACCTATGGTAATGCCTGCTGAGAGGCAAACACCTAACAAACAAACTCACTCTAGGGATGATGGGTCATGAGGGGTGAGGTCTTTAATTAACTAACAAACAAACTCACTCTACGGATGATGGGTCATGAGAGGTGAGGTCTGAAATTCAAGGGAGTGACTTAAAAAAGTTACGGAGAAAGTAACCAACGCCATGAAGAAGATGGTGCTTCCAAGCGCAGACAAGTGATTGCCCTGCACACTATGCCTGATCAACACTGCCTCTTCCTCCAACTTCTGTTTCATGAGCTATCCAAGCTGCCCCTGTGGTGCTCCACAATCATTATAGTTGTGGGCAGACTTGGCGCATACCCAAAGATTGTCTTGCATCCTAGACAAATCTGTAGAGGAACTTTGCAGATGCTCCATGGTGGGGAGCAGCGTCTGCCATGAAATCGGGTCCACACACACATTACGAACATACACAGCCTACGGGCACATACCTACGATACAGAGTACACACACACATACACAACCATAGGGCTGGGGGGAGGTAATGATCAACTTATAATGATGATAGGCGTCTCGACGATAAGTACCCCGCCTTAAAATCAGCTAGGACTGGGGTGGGCGAGTAGAGGGCGTGAGTTGCTGGTTGGTCTGGATTAACTAATGATGATGATAGGCATCTCGATGACAAGTACCCCACCTTAAAATCGGCTAGACTGTGCGTGGCAGACTAGGGCTGTGGTGGGCGAGTAGAGGGCGTGAGTCCCTGGTTGGTCTGGATTAACTGATAATGATGATAGGCGTTTCGAGGGTAAGTACCCCGCCTTAAAATCAGCTAGGACTGTGGTGGGCGAGTAGAGGGCGTGAGTTACTAGGTGGTCAACTTAAGGGCTAGTAGGAGATTGCTTTGGCCTGGCGTCCAAAGTTCCCGTGCGACGAGGCTCGTTCGACTCCACTTCCATTGGGGCTGGTTCATGGCTAGCCCTGGTGCCTGTCACTACTGTTCGGTCCAAGTTCCCCTCGATACTAGTAGGGTAATGGTCCTGAGTGCTGGTCACACTGAACTAGGATAGTCGAGATAGGGGGTGCGCTAGGAGTATTGACGTGAGGATGGGATGGGAGGTAGCCTCGTTCCCTCAGGACAACCATGGCTGACCGCTCCAGGCGATCAATGTGTGCCTAGTAACTGACCTCTACAACACCCTCGGGTCCAAGTTGTTCTACTCTGCAGGGGCCTCACAAGGTGGTTGGTGAACGCCCTATAGGGAGGAAAGAGCAGGTTATGTTGAATGCTCGACTCTAGGGATGGGAGGTATGATTAGGCTGCCATCATTTCCCAGTGGAGGCAGATAAGGCCAAGGGTTGGGCTGAGGCATGCTTTCGGAAGGGGTTGAGTGTGGGACTGTCACAACTGGGGCCGATCAGGAGAGTTTTTTCAACCCTCCTAGTTGGCAGAGGCAGCAAAGTGCGGGGGGGGGGGGGGGTTCTTCACCATCTGTATCCTGTTTTCTGTCTCTCCCCTGGTTCGCGAATGCTTTAGCTCTGGCAAGATGGTAAGTAGGTTGACATGGGGAGAGCTCTACTCTGCAGGGGCATCACAAGGTGGGGTGTGAATGTCCTGTCGGGAGTGCAGACAGCTTTTGCGGGAGGTAAATTTTCCCTCAATCACACATCATCAGTCTTAGCTTTCTGCATCTGGGATTATTCCAAATTGATTTGATACCCGACCTACGTTTTTGCGTGAGGTCGAGGTGTAGTAGTCAGCATGTCCAGGGGCCGTGATTGGCTAGGGACTTGTCGAGGGTGGAAGACAGGCCAATGGCCAACCGTGGTCTTCTGCCAGGCCAGCGATGGTAGTATGAGGAGGGCATGCGGTCGGGTTTAGCTCTGGGAGTTTTGGAACAGAACAGCTATAGCTGCTTTTCGATAACTGAAAGTTGGACAGGAAATGAATGGTTGGAAGCCGTGAGGGTTTGGTTTAGTCCATAATTTTTCGCATGAAAAAAAAGAAGGCTCGTCATCATCCTTGGTCGTTTCAGGATTCTACGCAGGTCAGACACAGAATTTCAGGAGGCAGTATTGGCTTAGTTGTATTCAGATTGATCTGTGCATGTTCAGAAGAGTCTAGGTTGGTCGATGCCAGAGCGATGCTGGCCGGTGCAGAGGCGTTGCCCTGTAACCTGTGTATACAGGGGCGTGAGGGCTTGTAGAAAGACCTGGGGATTGCCGAGGGTGGAAGGTAATCCAGTGACTGACCGGGGGCTACCGCTAGGTAGATGATGGTCGGAGCTGGGGCGATGATGGTCTGATTGGGGGTGTGAGACCAGGTATAGGCCTGGTAGATAGACAGCATAGCTAGGTTTGGATTTGGCTGGGTGGATACTACTTGACAGGGATGCCTGGAAGTGAGGGGTTGAACAGAAGTAGTTCTGAGATGGTCACATCTGCTCAATCGAAGCTTATAAAGCTTCGAGACATTCTTAATCATTCTATCATCGACAAATCATCATCAAATCATCATCAATTTTCATTGTTGTATTCTCGTTACAAGGGACACTGGGCCTATTTCCCAGCACGTGCTGCTGCCCACGAACAGATCGGAGCACGTTTTTTTCTGTTTTTTCGTTGTTTCAGTATTCCAGGCCTGTGGGACTGAAGGACTCAAAGCAGGTGATGCAGGTTGGGCTGCGGGACGACAATGACATGGTTGAATTAAGAAACAACTATGTCCAGGTCATGGTTTGAGTTTTGAATCTGCGGGACAACGGGTGACAGTTCGGCACACAGTTAGCTTTTGAATTAATCAAACGGGGTGGGAAGGCACTTGCACAAAAAGAAAACCAGGAAAATTTAAAAAGAAAAGAAAAGAAAGAAGGCAGAGGGGGGGAAAATCCATGGATTTTCTTGTATTTCTTCCCCCCCCCCCCCCCCCCCCAAAAGTCTCTCTCTCTCTCTCTCTCTCTCTCTCTCTCTCTCTCTCTCTCTCTCTCTCTCTCTCTCTCTCTCTCTCTCTCTCCCCCCCCCCCTCTTAGAAAGGTGTAGTAGAGGTTGGTGGCCAGGGCTCAGGAGGCGCCTCAGGAGGTGCCCGAAGTACTCATCCCGCCCTCCCCTATCCTAAGCATGATGCCTTCCTACCCCAGACTCCCCAAGAATCCACAGTCCTGACATATTCCCCCAATGAGAATTCCCACCGACCCAACCGGGATGAAGCACCACCCGCAGGCATCGTGAGATACCTGACACAGATGAGAAGTAGCCAGTACCTACCCCAGACTAACACCCAGTGTGTGCGTAGGATTATCCCCCCCAAGATGGGCCTTACCGTTTTTTTTTTTTTTTTTTTTTTTTTTAAATCTAAACTTCGTATAGGGGAAACCTACTTAATGAGGTGATAAGGGCATCCCTGATAAGTAGGACTGGGCGTCGAAGGCTCCATCTATCGGTGGGGAGCTACACCTGCTGGAAATCGGGTCCAGCGTCCCTGTATAGTGATGTGAATGTATCTGCTGGAAACCAGGTCCAGCGTCCCTATGAAGCAAAACCCTAACGAGGATGTGATGTATGTATGACGTTTGTGATGTATGTGTTCAATATCTATCGAAGTGTAAACACGAAACTCTAAAAATCATGTGATGTGCACGAATCACTATCAATTGTGTACTCTGTATGTTCTGGACATAGAGTCCAGCTTATGCAAAAAAAACGTAACCCTAACAAAAGGTGATGTAAGGGATCTTTAGCAGTCAAGCGTAAACACGAGACTCTATCAATGCTGTACTCTTGTGTGATCTGAACTGCGAGCCGAGCTTCCATTTCGCAAAATCATGTAAAGACTGTCGCTATACCTATTATCCGAAGGAGAGCAGGGGTATTGATTACTTCCCTGCGCAAGGGAAGGGTTGACCACCTGCAATCTACTCCCAAAGCAGCCCACCTCCCTCCCACGGGGCAATCAGCACCCCATTGTTGATATGATCGGTATTGGTGTTGTGACCTCCGTTGTCATCGCGGACTCCAATATCACCGGTGTCGATGTTGTTGCCGTTGTCGTTGTCGTTGTTATTGTTGTTGTTGTTGTTATTGATGTTGTTGTTGGTCTTGATGTTACTGCTGTTACCTCCATTGCCACGTGCGCCTCGTCACGATCAATAACGCTCTCCAACCGGTCTTCGAGAAGAGCATACAGATCGCGACCCTCATTGAAGAGGGTTTTGCAGACAGCCATGATGCCATCTGCCCTCCTCCAATCGATGCAGACGTCAAACCGAGGATCCGGCCCCTCCTCCAGCTCCCAGATGATCTCCATCGTGTCCTCACTTTTATCCTTCATCCAACCAGCCAGAGAGATCGCTCCCCCTTCGACCTCTGGCTCCATTTGCAACCGCAAGGACATGTCCCTCACAATCTCCTGTAGCCATCTGCGTCCTTTCTCCAAGGTAATCAGCCATTCGTTTGCTCCAAGATGTAGCTCCCTCTCTGAAATCTCCTCCATGGTAGCCATGGCTCACTCAAAGAACTGCGCCGCTTTTTTAGCAGTAACCTCCAATCAATCACAGTTGGCGCTTCCCCTGTTCACGCGTCGTGAGGCGTCCACTCCACCAAACGACAGGTGGCACGTGGCAGCTGAAAGCCACAGCCACGTGTCGGGCATGTGAACAGGCCCAGCGGCCTGGAGGGTGCGGCTGGGCCTCACGCCCTACCGTAGTCTAAGTTCTCTCTATGTGGACTCCCGTACGGGTGCCATAGTGACGGGAAACATGCTAGCTGTACCCAGACTCGACCATGGCACCCCCACGGACTTGTGCATACTGGTGAGACTGACAGATCGGAGGGTCCAAGTGACCACACAGAGGTATCGACGGTTTTGAGAACTTTCGACACTTTTGGCAGTTTTGTGGTTATCGACAGTCTAGCAGTTTTGCAGTTATCGACAGTCTAGGCAGTAAACCCTCCCCTTTTAATCTTCCCTAACCTATCCCCCCTCCCCCCCGGCCCATTGTGGAGCCATGATAAGACCCTAATCCTCAGACCCCCTAAGACCAAGCACTCAAGCAGCCCTCCTTATGGCCCTATCCAGCATACTACAACGATGGACCTAGACCCCTTGGGCGGTGCTCAGCCAGTGTCTGTATAAATCTTACCATGCGTCGTCCCAAGGGGTGTGTGGCAATGGCTTGTGCGTTATGAAAGCACTTACCGGTGTACATGCACACGAGGCAGCGGAGCTTCGAACCCGCAACCTCATACCACAATGCGCATTTCCAACCGGTGCTCTAACCACTGAGCCAACGGCCATTCATAGTCCATGGTTCTTTGATGCTGCTATGTTTGTTTGTTTGTTTTTCCCTGTTTTGTTTTGGTAATTGCTGATTTATTTGAGATTTTCTCTGTTTCTCTCTAAAATTTCATCAGGTGACATGTGGCTCTAGGCAAGTAGGGGTGTGTTATGATCCGGGGAATGCCGGAAGTGAAATTTCAAACTGTTTTTGTGACTGTACTGCAGTTACCCCCTCCCGCTTCCCCCCAAAAAATAAACAATTGGCATTCTCTCTTTACCCATCTCTTATTGTGCATCATCAGCACCATTGCTGTGGTATGAACAAAAGGGACGTCAAGCCGATGATGCATTCACTGAAAGGACAACAGTGAAGGAAAAAGTGTTTCAGACTGGCAGAGGAAGAATGGATCATTGGATACACTGCAATTTGTTTTCTTTGTCCTTTGTGTTGGGGGGAGAACATCCACCTTCTGAGCTAATGTCAAGTACGCGCATACTGGCAGCTGTGGGAAAACAGTAAAGAGAATCAGGCCAATGAGGAATGGCACCTGTAGAAAAAGAAAAAGCGGAACCAAAGTTGCATGAACACAAATGGATGAACAATTTTAGATGAACTTGGACGATGAAGATGAACTTGAACTTGAATCTGATGAAGTTAATTAACAAAAATAAACAAAGATGGGTGCAAAACACTCCAACAGAAAAAAAAAAAAAAAAAAAAAAAGACAGACAATCATCCACCAGGAGCAGAGTTCCACTACCATCTTCACCCGAATAAAACACCCGGTCATTATCGCTGCATCTGGTCTGAAAGTTGCACCAAGTGCAGCTGTAATGAGCGGGCGTTCTATTCGGGTGAAGACAGTACCCGCGGGATAGCAATCATATGGCCTACCGTCTTCACCCGAATAGAACACCTGGTCATTACAGCTGCACTTGGTGCAACTTTCAGACCAGATGCAGCGATAATGACCGGGCGTTCTATTCGGGTGAGGACGATAGTGACACCACTCGCCATCTGTCAACATACATTTTGAATGCATCTGGATAATACTATATGATGCATTCACAAATCTTGGTGGATGGCGAGCGGTGCAACTACTAGGCCCATAGGGTCAATAATATATGGTCATTCTGTGTGGCGGCCAATACCTGTCTGCGACACGATGTCGGTGTTTAACGTGTCATGCTGCAGTTGGTGATTGTTTGACTATATATTACTGTACCGAACCGAAATGAACCAGCAGATATCGAGCCGCTCTTCAACTCTGGTTTCATGCTGGTGCAAAACGAGCTTCCCGATCTAAAAGGTCTTTGCTTTGTCCACTTTTATTACTGTTAGAGTACTGTCATTTGTGGTACATCTCACATTACTTTAGAGGAACGAGAACAATGCAAACGTCTACCGTCCAACCTCTACGACAACCTGGGCTTTTTAAAGAAAAAAGCAAGGGGGAAAAAAAGAAAAGGAATGAGAAAGATGCAAGTGGTGTGTCGGAGATATAAATCCTACGACCCAACTGTGTATGTCAGACCGACTCAGAGGTCATCATGATGGTTTTCTCACAACATTTTCTGTCCAGAAACAATGCAAATCGGGGCTCGCAATATCTGTCATCCGATCACTAATGAAGTAATTGCTGAAGAGAACCACTGTCTTCCTGTCTTCTTTCAAACATGATGTCAGTTTGTTTGTTTCATGTAGCTTCCCAACACTTGTCAAAAATTTCTTTCTTTTACAAAATGCAACACTTGTCACCCAGCTTTAGAGCCATGAGTCCAAGACCCATCCCATGGCCAGTGGGACCCCTGCTCCAGGGCCATGCGCTGCGCTGCTATCAAGAGTTTACACCAGACTTGAACGGAGCACTGTCCCACTGGAGCGAAGGACTCCGCTCAAGTCTGGTGTCTCTGAATTGAATAGACCGAAACTCCGTTCAAGTCTGCAATCATCACAGCTTGGCTGTCATGACATGTACATGGCCACAGACAGAGTAGTGAAAGTCTGCAATTCAGAGAAACGTGTGATTTCAGACTCTCTCAGAGCCTATTCGACATTTTGATTTTTTGAGTCCTGGGGTCCCTGGAGATGGATAGAACCAGGGTTGGGCCTTGGTTGCGCAGGCGGCCCTGCCGTGCAAGGGTCAGGAAAGGGCCCAGCAAAAAGAGAATAAAGAAAGAAAGAAAGAAAGAAAGAAAGGGAAGCGGAAAAAAAATAATATGTCATGTAGAAAAAATAAAAAATAGCCTGAACGACTTTTGCCTCAGGGTCACGCTCGTGCCACAGCTGACCAGTCTCTGGAATCAGCAACATCATCTGCAACAGCTCCAGCAGGCGATCCCGGCTCTTGGGTAAAAGTTCTGAGAAGGGGCATGGTCCCTACCTCTGGTATGTGGTACAACGGCAGCAACCTTTTTTTTTTTTCCCGGACAAATGCTGCGATTCGTTCTCGTCAACATGACGAACTGGGACAATATACTCAAAATAACAATTCATTCCGGAGCTTTCATATCGCGGAAAATAAGTACATCGTTAAGGTAGCGTACTGATACGCCACACAGCCCCTTCTACTCCTTCACCGCTCAGACTGGGACAAATTTGGAGAATAGAAACTTACTGGCCGGACGTGCAAATACTCGTGTTGGGATGTGCCAGACGTTTTTTTTTGGATTGAGAAGTGCTTTGACCCTTGCTGTGAATCCGGCACCCCTGCCACTACCTCAAACCCTGGTGCCTGGATGTGTGTTGGAATCTGAGGATGATTATCGACCCTTTCGCCTTTCCCGACCCTCGTATTCCTTGTCTGTGGATCCTAGAGATTGGGCCTGGGAACATCCCTTGCACAAGAACAAAAAATGGTCCCAGCATACGGCTACTCGACCAAATTGGGTTATCTGCTTTCCACCCCACAGGTGGATATTAACTGGATCGTAGCTCGCAGATGGGTAGCGACAAGATGGATTATGGATTCGCTGACACGGATTCTTGCAGTGCTGCCAGGGTTTTGGAAAAACCTTATGGATATGGTGGTTATCAACATCCCAGCTTTCTTTGGCTGATGATGATGAATCAGGCGGTTCCGCTAACCACTTGGTGTGTAAGACGTGCGCCGCACGGTTAAAGCGCGAGCGGAAGGGAGGATTTACAGCACTTTATTCGCACTGCTACATCTCTCGGCCTTTCTGGGACTGGTGGCGACAATAGAACGTCCCTGTTCCTAGCAATGCTGCACGGTGGACTGACCATTTTCTCCTGATGGGGACGGGCAGCGAGACCAAGTGCGTTTTACATATGTGGAAGAAACAGTGAGGGGTGCCATTTTGTGGACCCTCTGGACATTTGAGGAACTTTGCAACGAGAGGTTCTGAACGAAGAAGTTTCTGATCTGTTTCAAGGGGCTTTCGGACCAGCACCAATGGAGGTAGATTCCTCGTCTCCTTCACAGGATTTGAAATGGAGGAGGCTACCATTCAATCTGAATCGGATTTCACAGAGGAGCACAGGTTGAAACAATTGGCTAATGGTTAATTAAGAATCTCAAGACACGATTTGCGGAGAGGTTACATCGGGGATTACCGGAGGGTGCTTGCTGGCCAGTAGTTAGACAACTTATCTTGGACATAGTGGTCGGCATGTTTCAGCCCCTGACATCTACTAAGGAGAGGGATTCTAAAGAAGAGGATTGCACGTCAGTAGTGCTGGCAGTGTCTGTATAGGAGGAGGTTATGGCCAATAGTAGTGAAAGTGTAACTCCTCCTCCTCAGACCTCGGATCGTAACATCAACAATAAAAAGGAAATGGTTGAAACCAGAATAGAGGAAAATATCACAACTGTGGAAGAGACAAGTGAGTTGTGCAGTTCCGCTCCAGTAGAACTGTACGAACAAAATGATGGGGAAAAGGAAGAGATAATAAAGGATGGAATATTTATCTCACCCCAACAAAGGATGGGAATGACGGAAAGTAAAGAACGTTCCACTATTCCAATGTTCCAATAATGAAGGGGGTGCTGGATCTTGGCAAAAGGCAAAAAATGTGGCATGCATTAAAAAAGGGTCAGGCTACTTATGTACAGGATCCTAGAGGCAATCTGCTGATTCCAATCAAGAAAAAAGGAGGTAAATGGGAA